AGGGGGGGAACCATCTGACTCAATCGATCTCACTATCGATCTCACTCAACGGGACACCACGGGACACTACGGGACACCACGGGACACTTGTAGATCTCACTATCGATCTCGCTCAGCGGGCCACCACGGGCCACCGCGGGACACCACAGGACACCGCGGGACACCTCTCGATCTAACTATCGGTCTCACTGTGACTCACTATCGATCTCACTATCGATCTCACTCAGCGGGACTCCATAGGACACCACGGGACACCTCGGGACACCACATCGATCTCACTATCGATCTCACGATTGATCTCACTATCGATCTCACTCAACGGGACATCACGGGACACCTCGGGACACCTGTCGAGCTCACTTTCGATCTCACTATCGATCTCACTCAGCGGGACACCACGGGACATCACGGGACACCTAGGGGCACCACATCGATCTCAGTATCAATCTCACTATCGATCTCACTATCGGTTTTGATCAACGAGACACCACGGGACACCTCGGGACACCTGTCGATCTCACTTTCGATCTCACTATCGATCTCACTCAACGGGACACCACGGGACACCACGGGACACCTCGGGGCACCACATCGATCTCAGTATCGATCTCACTCAACGGGACACCACGGGACACCACGGGGGACCCGCGGGACACCGGCGGGACACAGCACGGCACCGGCCGCCGGAGGAGAAACATTTGGTCCCGCCGCGGCCCAGCCACAGGAAGATTTCGAGACACCCGCGGGACACCAGCGGGACACCGCGGGGCACCGGCCGCCGGAGGAGTTACGTTCGGTCTGGCCGCGGCCCAGCCACAGGAGGATTTCGGGACACCGGCGGGACACCGCGGGGCACCGGCCGCCGGAGGAGTTACATTTGGTCCGGCCGCGGCCCAGCCGGAGGATTTCCTCTCGCCCGCCCACGCAACTTCGCCTCGCCCGCACGCACGCACGGCACGCACGGCACGAACCCGAAATCGAAATCGATTTCCCGGTACGCCGGTACGGGGGGTCTCCGTTTCACGTCGGACCCATCCCCCAACCTCCAATATTTGATTTGACGATTGATGAGATCTCGATATTTTGCATTCGGGGGGCAAGTTGGACGCACAGGAAATCAAGGCAGAGCGAACACTTCAGTGTGAGTGATCACATGTGCAACACCAGTGCTACACGACTGGTCTCGCATGGGAATATCTACGCACTTGCCCAACGATAAGTTCATGTTCTCGTAGTGGTAAGTCGGCGCGTATTTTGGGCCTCGAGGGAACACCATCGCTTCTCTCCGTCTCCGCTTCCCCGCCACGGCGAAACACCAGCGAGGCCTGGGTGGAGGGGGAGGCTCGTCCTGCAGGTGCTCGGGGCCTCGAGGTGGCACTGGGCACCCCCCTCCTTGAGACGTGGCCCGCTCGCGGGCCCGGTCGCGAACGGCCCGCGGTGCCGCGCCTCTGCACTTAAAGGCAGGAGCGGAAGCGCTCCCTGCCGCGGGATGCTCGCTCGCAAGCGGTGGAGGCAGGGGGGAGCGAGGTGGGAGGACGGCTCCTCCTCCTCCTCCTCCTCCTCCTCCTCCTCCTCCCTCCTCCTCCTCCTCCTCCTCCTCCTCCTCCTCCTCCTCCTCCCTCCTCCTCCTCCTCCTTCCTCCCTCCTCCTCCTCCTCCTCCTCCTCCTCCTCCTCCTCCTCCTCCTCCTCCGCCAGCGAGGCGCCCCAGGCAGGCCCAGGCAACGAACTGCCCGGTCGTGCATCCACATGTCCGCGGAGGCGTTTGATACGATCCCGGCTTGCCGTACAGGAGCAGCCGTTCGGACTCGCAGCCAACGCGCTCAACCTTGCCCTCCTCTTCTTGCTCCTCCTCCTCACCCCTTCGCCTCCTCTGCTCTTCCTCGTTCTCCTCGCCCTCTCCTCGTCTTTCTCCTCCCACCTCTGCTTCTGTCTTAACTCTTCTCCGTGCGCTCGTCGTTGTCGTCGTCGTCGTCGTTGTCGTCGTCGTCGCGAACGTGGTCTTCAAACATCTTCCTCGTGTCATCGTCCTACTCCGCTCTATGAGCGCATCACGACAATTCAAGATGGGCTAGAAACGGCGGAGGTGTGTCACATGCCCGAGTGGTCGTCGCCGTGTCGTCGTCGTCGTCGTCCTCCTCCTCCTCCTCCTCCTCCATCTCATGTTCCTCATACTCACCTGCGTCTCGTCCTGATACTCATCCTCCATCTCACGTTCCTCCCCGTAGGTGTCGTTATTATTGTCCTGTCTTATTATTCTCCTGATCCTCCTCCTGCTCCTCCTCTTCTTCCTCTTCTTCCTCCTCCTCTTCTTGCCATTGCCGTATTACTTCGTCTATGAACACGCATATCATACATATAGACAGAAGACATATAATACAAACATTTTAAGTTGCCGGTCTATACATATATATACATATATATATGTATGCCTAGGTGTACGTGCGTGTCCCCATGATTCCTCCCCCTGCTCATCTTCTCCCTCCTCCTTCCATTCATCCCCGTTTCCTCATCGCCCTCCCTGCCAGACTCTTTCTTTCGAGCGCCAAGAGGCAAGGATGGAGGGAAGGGCTGATGGGGTGTAGCTGAGAGGAATCGTAGAATGGGGGTGATGATGATTATGATGATGCTGCTGATGATGATGATGGTGATGATGAAAAGCCTGGCCCCCCGATGTCCTGATTGGTAATGCTCGAACGCCGGATTTCTCGATCAATTCCACGGGACACGTTTTCCGCTCGGGGCCGCTTTTGGACAACCACGGAACCCATGACACGGCCCCCGTCAGCCGAAACACTTTCTCGGCGTGCTTTTCCAATCAACCTGTGTTGAATAGGTTACCCGTTTTGATTCAGCACCGTCGGGCTGCTTTCCTCCTTCCATCCTTCTTCGCCCTCCTCCTCCTCCTCCTCCTCCCATCTCTGGCCTCTGTCCTCTGCATGTCTCTATTTAGGCACACCCCTCACACGCTTCGTGGCCCCACAAGGAGCTCCACCTAAGGCCCCACAGGTTGCGCCCGTATACCGCCACCGCACCGCTGTGGCACACCCCATCACGCGCTTCGCGGCCCCATTGGGAGTTCCACCGAAGGCCCCAATGGTTACGCTACGCCCGCATGCCGCCACCACCCCACTTTATCGCACCCTTCACGCGTTTCGTGGCCCCATACATACGGAGGCTCCACAACCACCCACAGCTCCAATGGTTGCGCCCGCATGCCGCCATCATCCCACTTTCGCGCATCCCTCACGCGTTTCGTGGCCCCATAGGGAGCTCCGCAAAAATCACCAACGGTTGCGCCCTCATGCAGCCGCTCCTCCCCCCCCAGCTTTGGCGCACCCTCGCGCGTCTCGTGGCCCCACAAGGAGCTCCACCTAAGGCCCCTATAGTTGCGGCCGCATGCCGCCATCGGCCTACTTTGGCGCACCCTCGCGCGTCTCGTGGCCCCACAAGGAGTTCCACCTAAGGCCCCTATAGTTGCGCCCGCATGCCGCCACCACCCCACCTTTGCACACTCCTCACACGTTTCGTGGCCCCATAGGAAATTCCACCTAAGGCACCAATGGTCGCGCCCACATGCCGCCACCACCCCACTATGGCGCGCCTCTCACACGCTTCGTGGCCCCAGAAATAGTTCCACCTAAAGCCCCATTGGTTGCGTCCGTATGTCGCCACCACCCCACCCTGGCACACCCCTCGCACGTTTCGTGGCCCCATCAGGAGCTCCACCCACAGCTCCAATGGTTGCGCCCCCATGCCGCCACTGCACCACTCTGGCGCCTCCACAAGACACGGCCCCGCCGCGTGCCGCTCCCCAGACATCGCCCTGCTGCTCCCCAAGGCCAGGCCGGTGGGGGCCTAAACTAAACAAGCATCGCGGAACGAACGGAACCGTTATCATATTGAAACCTCGCGCCACTTTCGTGGGCTCTTGGGAAGTGCGGTGGAACGCGGGGCGACGCGGATCATTTTGAAAACGCGCGGTCATTCGGGGGCTGCGATCTGCGCAACGGTCGCCACTTTCGTGGGCTCCTGCAAGGCGAGCTGGAATGCAGGGCAACGCGGATCATTTGTGACCTCGCGGCTCCGTCGGGGGCTGCGAACTGCGCAATTGTCGCCACTGTCGTGGGTTCTGGGGAGGCACGGCACAGTGCAAGGCGCCCATATGGCGCTTGACCACATGGCGCATGGCGCCGTCCCGTCATTAGCGCGCGGCGCTGTTGCATCACAGAGCGCAGAGCGCTGGAACATCACGTAGCGCATGGCGCTGTCTTCGATGGCCCTCTTCCACTTCTCCTAATGTGCCTGTCGCTCGCAGTAACAAGGGTGAACCCAGCGTATGTAGCGCATGGCCTTGTTATTCTCATCAATATTGCTTCCCCTTTCGTGTCCATCCTCGTTGTCTTCCCCCTTTCCCCCCTCCTCATCGTCCACTTCTGTTCAAGTGTTATGTTTCTTGCCGTGCGCGTCGTCGCTGTATCCTTCACGATCTGAACTGCGCAGATGTGCGACGCGCGTGGCCCGACATGGTGTGGTGAAATATTTCAGATAGCTGCATATCTCGCACTGTGTTCTTTTGTATGGCAGGTTCGGATACATTGTCCCCGTGCGTGGACGAAATTAGCAACTACGTTTCGGATAGTTTCACGAAGTCCGGACCCCTTCACGGAGACTGGTTTCTCCTCCTGGGCAATTTCTTGAAAGCCCAGGAGGCCGAAACCGCAGCAAAAATGCCCTTCGTGTTTTTTCACGCCGCGGGGGTCCACGAGGACGTGGACAAGGATGTTGCCCCCTGGACTTCGGGTCAGAAATCAACTCTCCGGCGGCCCAACGGGACGATCTGGGCGCCCCTGAAACGCTCCCGGCGAGGCGCAGCGGCTGGATCGCATCCCGAGGCGGGAACACTGCCGAAAACCTTTGGACCTTTCGAGGCCTGTGGTCGACGAGGGCGGGGACGACGCCAGCATCCGCCGCGGGGCCGCGCGCGAGACCGCCGGACAGCGGGCGCCGCTGGGGCGCTGGCGTAGTCCGCCACGGTGCGCCCCAGCGCGTCGGCGCCGAGGCCACCGAGGAAGTCCTCGTCCGACCTCTCGGCTGGCGGGGCCCAAGCCTCCAACGCTCCCATATCTCCGACACGGCGGCGCGCACAAGGGGCAGGGGGAGGGGGGAAGGCTTCTCGGAAGGAGGCCGCTTCTTAGACGGCGCTGGCCTTGCATCTGTAGACGAAGCCCGCGCCCTCTAAGACGCAGGGGTGCTTCTAAGAAGCCTTGCCCCCCCTCCCCCTGCCCCCCCGTGCGCGCCGCCATCCGACGACAGGCTCTCCAGGGCTTTCTCGGCTCGGGATGCTCTCCGGCACGCCGAGGGTGCTCTTGGGGTGCCCGGATCGCTCCCGACGGCCGCCGGAGGCCCGCATGATGCCCTGCAGGAAGAGATCCGACGCGATGCGGTGTTCTTCAATCTGGCCGTGCTTCCTCGACTTCGGCCTCGGGGGGCCTGCTGCTGGGCTCCCGCGCGCGTGCGTTCGCAGGCCACGTGGCACGACGCAGCGGCTCAACGGGGGAAGGGCGCGAGCCGCGCAGGGAGCGGCCATGCGAGGTCAGATAGTACAGTCATCGGCCTGACATAAGGAACGATAAATCAGGAACGAAGCCCCTTTTTTTATCCCAAGGAATAACGCATAAGAAACGATAAATAAAAAATAACGCATAAGGAACTGTAGATAACGCATCCAAGCCTAAGGAACGACCGAGCCCCTTTTGAAAAGTAAGTGTTCCTTGTTCAAACCGCTCACTGTACACTCCAGCATCTTCGGGGTCAGTGGAGAAGCCCTGTCGGTGAACGCTTGCTTTCCACATCCCACCAGCGCTCTGGGCGTGGGTGGTTTAACGAACTTCGTCTTCTCCCTGCCAAAATCCTTCCTGCCCCTGCTCGGGGGAGAGGTAAACACCCCCTTCTCTGGGTCTAGACGGGGCGTCCCGCGAGGGGTTAGAGCGCCGAAGATCGTCCAAGATGGCTCCAAGAGGGCCTCAGAGAGCGCAAGATGGCCTCCAAAATGGCTCAATATAGTCGCCGACGTACATTCAAGAGGTCTCAAGACGGCCCCGAAATGGTTTCAAGTGCCCCCTGAGCCCTCCAAGGACCCCCCAAGAGGCCAAAACAACTCCAACACCTGGAACAATTTCAGATTTTTGCCTTCTCGCCGTATCGCTTCCGATGGGTCTCGGAGGCCCCCAAAAGGCCCAAAGATGGCCCAAGGGATCCCCAAGAGGGACCCGAAAGAGCTCCAAGACGGCTCCAAGAGCGTCCAAGAGCGCTCCAAGGACGGCTCCAGAAAGCCTCAAGACGACATGTTTGAGACTCCGAAGGGGGGTCCTGAATCCGTTACCCCTCTCTTTTTGAGCCTCGTATGCCAACATGGCCCCAAGAGGCCTCCAACACCCCCCAAAGAGCCCCAAGAGGGCCCCCTAGACCCCACAAAAGAGCCCCAAGAAGGCCCCAATAGTGCCCCAAGTGGCTCCGCGAGGACTCCAAGAGGGACCCAAGGTGGCTCCAAGAGACCTCCGAGAAAACACTCCCAAGGCAACTCGCCTGGCGATCTGTTTCTGCATGGACTGGTGGATTTTTTGTTATATATATGTATCTATTATATATATACATATATATATATATATATATATATATACAGCCGCAGGCGGAAGCGCCGGCGGCGGGCGGTCGCGGTCGGGCTGCGGCCGCGACTAGCGGCGGGCGCGCGCGAAGCCGCGGTCAGGCGGCAGGCAGCAGCGACCCAGGGCGTCTGAGCCAAGGCGTGCAATCCAGGGAGTCTGCAGGGCAGTCCCAGGACGGGTCATGCAACGGCGCATCCAGGGAGTCTGAACACAGGCACCGAGGAAGCCGAGCGCAGCCAAAATGGCGCGTAAGGCGCTCCCAACAGTTCGAGTCGAACGGGTGGGAACGGTCCCGAAGACGTCTATCCAGGGAGTCTGACGGGTAACACAGACTGTCTGGCGACAAAGTCCAACGGGAAGACCTGACGGCGGATCAGAACATCGCAACGTCAGTACACGCATCCAGGGTGTGGAATCAGAGTGGCCAGAGAGAAACTTCCACAACTGCGATGCGTCAGGCCCTGATCCAACGAACGATAAGGGCGCAGCAGTGCGCACAAGGCCACACGGTAGGAACTGGTGGATATGCGCGAAGCGTCAAGAATCCCACCAGCCTTATGGGCGTAGGTGGTCTAGGTCGTTTCCTCTTTCACCCACATTCCTCCTCTTCGGGGAGAGGTTTAGCCCTCCCCCGAGCCCAGAATCGAATCGATAAGTCGGCTCGGCGATCGAAATTCATCGGATCGGCGGACATCGGCAGCCACGGCGGGAGAAATCGAACCGGCGGAAATCGGCATGCTAGTAAATCCTCCACGGAGAAACCAGAATCCAGACCGGAAACCGAAATCGAATCGGATTGGAATCGATCGAAATCGAATCGAACCGAGTCGGAGCAGTCGGAATGAGCCCTGGCCCTGGCGCATTGTCGGGTTTCTACTGCCCCGGGCCAATGCAAACCCAGGGTCAGTCAGCCTTTGCAAGATCCTGCAGGATCCTGCGCGCTGGCCCTGGTCCATGCGGCGGCGAGCGGGGGGGGGGTAACTGAGAAGGAGAAGGCCTTCTCAGAAGGCCGCGGAAGGCTTCTCAGACGCCCTCCTCCTGCCTTGTGAGAAATCTCCTGTGTCTTCGGGGAAGGCTTGGAGAACTTCTCAGACAGCCGGGGGACTCCCGAGCCTGCGGAGCAGGCCCGCCCCTTGTCGCTTCCCCCCATGGGCCCGCCGCCGATCCTCCCTGCACAACCCTGGCTTTGGCAGCACCCTGCGAGATCCGGCGCTCTGGCCGACCCCCGCTTGCGCCGGCCCCCGCCTCAAATGAAGGAGCCCCAGGACACACAAATAAATACACACAAACAAAAGAACTCCCCATCTTTTCCCCTATTTTCTGAGTTCTTGTCTTCCCGCCCCATTCCCATATTTTTTCCCGTATTTTCTGGGGGATCGACGATTCTTTGTGCCTGTGTTTTTTCCCCCTCCTGATCAAAGGCTGCGGGGCCTCCAGGCTCCTCCTCGCTCCTCCTCCTCCTCCTCCTCCTCCTCCTCCTCCTCCTCCTCCTCCTCCTCCTCCTTTGAGGGGCCAGGGTCGGCCAGAGCGGGCGCTCTGGCCGACCCTGGCCCCTCAAAGGCTGCCGACACCGGGCGGGGCCTCCAGTCCCGGCCGGCGGCCTCGGACAGCGCCCGGGCGGCGAGCAGCAGCGCCGGCAGCGCGGCGGAGGCGCCGCCTGCGGGCCCGCCGCCGCCGCGTCTCGCTTCGGGGGCGCGCCGACATGGATCAGCGATCCTCCTCCTCCTCCTCCTCCTCCTCCTCCTCCTCCTCCTCCTCCTCCTCCTCCTCCCCCCCCCCCTGGCGCGTGCCCCCCCCCATGGATCGGGGGTAGGTAGGAGGGATGATCATTATATCGTATTCCTCTCTGTAGCCGTTCGGGCTCCAGTCTGGAGGACCGGTAACAGCCATACACAGGTTCCAAGGCTGTGGGAGCCACAGTATACAGGCGATTGCGCGAAGCCCACGAGAAAAGAGGATCAGCGATCCATGGACTCGTCGCGCCGTCGCCAGATCCATGGATCGGGGGAGGTGCCCTCCCCCAAAAATGCGGCTGGCGCCGCCTCGCTCGGCGGCGGCACTCCAGGCTCTCCCATGGAAGCGGGGCCCGTCGCTGATCCACGCCCCCTTGATCCATGTCTGCGATCGCCTGACTGATGACGAACCAACAACACACACCCATATCCATAGGGGGGTCGGAGAGGGCTATGGGTGCGTGTTGTCGGAGGGAGGTCCCCGCTCGAACGGGAGCGCTCCCCAGGGTCCGACAACCCGCACCCATACCCCATAGCCAGTCCTCCTCCCAACGACCCCCCTGTGGGTATGGGTGTACGACCGAACCTGTTTTTGAGACGTTATTCCCGAACCTGGCTAACCAGGCAGTGGCAGGGAGGGTAGGGCCTGGATGGTGAGACAACTGTACATGCGAGCGACCTTTCATCCGATGCTTCTGTGCAGTGCCATTTCGGCTAAAGAGCCCCTGGAGGGCGAAAGCTACCTGCGCTTGGCACACAACACTTGAAGGTCGCTGGGGGGGCAGCGTTGTTTCCAGGGCCAGATCCCCGTACGCTCGGCGGGCGCGCTTGATCGGTCAACACCAATCCTTACAGCCGCCTTCGCGAGAAGCTCTCATTTCAGGTTTCCTCTTGCCGACGATTGGGCTGCTCATGCTAGCTCTTGCCCTACAAAAGCATTGCCCTCTCCCCCGTCGACCCAGCAACACAGATCGCGTTCGCTGCCCCTCAGCGAGCTTCAACACAAAACACATCAGCATCCGAGCAGGCTTGATAGTCCTTTCGATCGGGGGCCGACACGGCCCTCGCGCTGACGCCAGGGAGCGGCGCATCGGGCGCGGAATGGGCCTCTGCGGCAGCGGCGAGCCCCGGCCACGGGCGGGCTCGCCCCGGCCAAAGGCCAAAAAAGGAACGCCCCGCAGGGCAGGGCCCCTCGCTTCAGCGTCTCAACGGAGCATGGCCCCTCGCAGGGCATGGCCCCTCGCTTCAGCGTCTCAACGGCCCTCGCAGGGCATGGCCCCTCGCTCCTGGGCCAGGGCGGGTCCTCGCTTCAGCGTCTCCACTCTACGTGGGGGGGGGGGGGGGGGACGTGCACCCGTCGTGCCCCCTTTGGGCCCCAGGGGTGCCCCTCGAGGGCCACCTTTCTCCCCCCCCCAGCCCCCATTTGTCGCCCCCCCACCCCATGGCGCAACGCCCGGCGCCGTCGTCGCCGCCAGCCACTGGCTCGTGCTGATGAGTTTTAGCCATTGTGCAGAGCGAACACTTTCTCATCCCCCTCACCTGTCGCCAGCGTCATCATTGTCATCGTCATCGTCATCGTCGTCGTCATCATCATCATCGTCGTCATCATCATCAGGTTTTTCATCCAGCTTCTCAACATCGTCACCATCGTCGTCGTCGTCGTCATTCTGGCCACCGTCGCAATCGTCATCGTCGATGTCGTTGCCCTCGTCAAATTTCTGCGCGCGCGAACTTCCTCATCATCCTCACCAACACCATCGTCAACATCATCGCCAATATCATCATTGCCACTGTCATTATCATCACCATCAACCTCATCACTTTCACCATCGTCATCGACCCCACAGTCGTCATGACCACCATCGTCATCCTCAATGTCGATGTCGCCGCCCAGTTGAGTTTCGCCGTCCAACAATCAATTGCACCATAACGATTGCACCCCACCGAACGCACATCGAGAGTGCAAAAAACAACTAGGTCCACCCTCACAAGCACTTTGTTTGTATTTCTGGAGCCTAGAAGCGGGCCCTGGTGGTTGAGGATGGCGCAGCGTTGTCGTCGCTGCTTCGAAACACTGGAGGTCTGGGGTGGGGGGGGTGGGGGCAGGCAACCACATCTTAATCCTACCCCATCACTGCTGCCCAGGTATCTAGACTAGTACGGGGTTCACCGATGGAAATTCATCGTCGAAGTACTCATGTCGCGGTCTTTTCTGTGTTTAAGGACTTGGTTTATGCGTTCAATAAGTGCTGTTTTGCAGTGTTTCCGTTCGCTGGAGTGATTTAATAAATTATGTTCCCAGTTTGCCAAGAATCACTTTTCCCAAGCATGGTTCGTACAATCCCCACACTCATTCATTACCACTACCTCCGTTGGTGGGTGGACTCAGGATTGGCGGCCCTGAGATCCGACGACGCTGACAAACTGGAACCCCGTGAGTCAAACAAAGCCTGAGCCCTGGACCCCATCACTCCGCGGCATTTCTCGAGCCGGATCGACCCGCGATGGCCCCGGGGCCCGAGAAACGGGGCGAACACCCCCGCCAGCGAACTCCCGCTGGTCTGCACAGGTGGGCCGGTACGGGGCAAGCTTTACAAGGCGTTCCTTTGTAAGCACATCGTCTTCGGCACCGCCTGATTCCGGGGCTTTGCCCCCTCCTGGCCTTGACGTGAGGCCCCTCCTTCTACCCCCCCCTTTGTTGATCAAAGCTGTGCGCGGCCCGCTCAGCTTCGACCGGAAGAGGTGCGCTCTCGACCCGCGGATCAAAAAAAGCACGGGGCGAGCCTCGCGTGCGGCGGCCGCTTCCAGGGCTCGCTCTGGCCAGAGCCTCGACGGGAAGCCAGCCGTGGCGACGAGGGGCCCAGGTCGGGCACTGCTAGAAGCGCTCCTGGCCCAGGCTCGCCATCGCTCGGACGTCCATTCCCTGCGTGTTTTTTTCTCGGTTTCGTGCGTGTTCTTTTCGCCAAATGATCAAAGATGCTCTTCGATGGTCCTCGCCGAAGGAAAAATGCACACGTCCGAGCGGTGCCAAGCAAGGTGCCCCCAGCTGTTCGCTCCATTCTGGAGCCCCCTGGGGCCTTCTGGGGCCCCCTGGGCCTCGTGAGGGGTGCTCCGGAGGCCGTGGGGGCCTCCCTGGAAATCCTGGGGGCACCTTGGGCCAGGGGCGCTGCTAGCAACACCCGACCAGAAAGAGCGAGCAAGAGTCCCAAAGCGTTTCATCATCCTCGATCCTGGGAGGGCGACGGCAACGACGTCGACAACGACGACGACCCCGCCTCGAAGATCGACTCCTGGAGCCCTCCAGGGGTGCGCTCTGACCCGAATCGCCGAGGACCTCTGGCCGTGGCGGCCTGGGCGCGCAAGGACGCCCAAGGAGGACCCCCGGCCCTCAAGCAGTGAATTTCGACCGTCGAACCATCGACGACACGACGAGCACCGGCGGCACGCCCAGGGCGCGGGCCTGCAGGCTCAGACTGCCTCCGGCCTTCTGGGGAGCAATCTGGCATCCTCCAGGCACACTTTGGAATCCCGAAACGGTGCGGTGACACACCGTGCGGTGACCTCGAAATCTCCCAAGACCTTCCGCACGGTCCGCCAACGCACGGTTCTGGGACCTCGGATGCCGCAATCGCCCGAAACGTCCCCGGAGAGCGATCCGAGCACAAAAACCGTGCAGTGACCCCGAATCCCCACCGACTCACCGCACGGTGTGGTCACCACCCCGTTTGGGGGCCCCCTGGCACACGGAGGGCTTCTCAGGCGGCCGGAGGGCTTCCGAGGAGCTCCGCCACAGCCTGGGGAAGGCTTGCCCCCTCTGCGGTCAGGAACTGTTGCCCAGCGCGCCGCGGAGGCGGCCCCGCTGACGCGCTATGCCTTGCGACCAGATGGCGTGTCGCCCCGCCCGGTCGGGGCGAGAGGCTCGGAGAAGCTTGGTGCGCTGACGCCAGGGGACCGAGACGTGGTCAGCGTGTCGCGCCGAAGCGCGGTGGGCCAGAACTGGCGGGGCGACAAACCAAGCCAAGGGTACTGACCAGGGGAGTCGGCCGCGGGGTCCGTGAGCTGGTTGGTCCCCCAAAATATAGGTCAAGAGGGGGGGATGAAGGCAAATTCGCTCAAAATCGGTACCTGGACCCCTCCCGCGATCCGGATCCATTTTTGATGGTCCCAGGCCCGACAGTTGCCCCGGGAGACCGAGAAGTGCAAAAAACCTTCCCGAACCCAGAGCCTCGAACCTGCCTGCCCCCTGCCTGCGGGCGAGGAGCGAGGAAGCGAGCGCGGGAGGGGAGGGGGCACCTTTCTCTGACACGAGCGGGGCCAAAAACAGGACGGCCGCCGCGGGTGACACGCGCGCGGGTCCGCGGACGTGCGCGGCGGGCGCGCGCACGCGGAAGGAGAGAGGGGCAGCGAAAGCAGGCCCTCGGAGGACCGAGCGAGGACAGGATCAGCCGGCATCGAATCGGGAAATCGGATTGCCCTCCTGGGGCCCTCGGGCTCTCTTGGGGTCCCGTCGTCTACATCGGAAGCCTTCGCGGCTCTTCTTGGAACCTCTCGTGCCATTTTCCGGCCGTCTTGGAGCAACCATGGACCGCCTCCTGGATATCTCGGGCCTCCTGCTACGGGTCGGTATTAAGCATCCAGAGGACGCGCCCTGCCTAGCACTGACTCGGTGGTGCTGGTGAACGGTATCGCCGTCGGTCAGCCGCACAATACACGTCGATCGGAAGAAGTATGCAATAACAGCATGAAGTAGGAAGCCGGATTAAGAAGATGGGTGGGGTTCAGGCCCTCCCCCCCAAAACAACAAAACACAGCAACAGCATATTGTTTGAAATAGGAAGACACTTGAAGTAGACTGGGATCTGGGAATCCAGAGATATCGACTGTCAACAGCCGACGGGTATATAGATACATACATACATACATACATACATACATACATACATACATACAGACAGACAGACAGACAGACAGACAGACATACATTCATATGTATATATATACATATATACATATATATAGTCCAGTCGGCGAAAGAGCGGAGGGGCGCATGAAGGGGCGCAATACACATCTGCGGGCTAATATGGAACTGCTTTCGGAGTACCTTGATGCCGTCCAGGGGCCGTCTTCGGCTCGTGCGGCGAAAACCCAGGCCAGGCTGGGCGGGCGGCGAGCGCGAACCGTCTGGAATGTACGGTCATAATCGTTGCGCACGCGGGTCCTAGGCCAACACAACAACGAATGCTCGTTTTTTTTTTTTCTTCTCCTCTTTTTTCCAGCCATGCAAACCAATCAAACGTCGCATCTCGGAGTCACGCAAAATTGCCAGACTCTTTTAGAGTGCGCCGCATGGGCCCTAGGCGTCGGACTTCGACCACTGGCTCTGCGCCACGTGCCAGCTTGGCCCACCTGTCCCGCCCGTTGGGGTCTGCCCGCTCGCCCGCCCGTTGGGGTCCGTCCGCCCCGCCCGCCGAATCTGCCTGATCTTCTGTTACGGTGATGCTTGGGCGCAGGGGTCCGCACAGGGCTTCCAAGGGAAATCGCACCAGCCCTCTGGGCCGAGGTGGTCTGAGGTGCTTCCTCTACCAAGCCCCCTGTTCCCCTTCGGGAAGGTGCTTGATATCTCTGACGACGACGAACCGACGGCGACGATGGTGATGGGGTGGTGATGGTGGTGATGATGACGACGGTGATGATGATGGTGATGATGGTGCTGAAGATGGTAATGAAGATGCTGTTGAGGACGATGATGGTGATGCTGCTCATGATGATGATGATGTTGATGCTGATGATGATGATGCTGATGAAGGGAATGATGCTGATGATGGTAATGATACTGCTGATGATCATGCTGATGATGAGGGGTAGCGGTGATGATAACGATGCTGTTGTTGATGATGATGGCGATGGTGGTCAAGACTTTTGTCGGCCACCAAATCTGTCAGGCGGGCCCGCCTAGCCGCGGCCGCGAGGGACCGAGCTGCCGCGCGCGCGAGCCCGCGCGGCTCAATACGAAGATGCAACGGCGACGGCAACGGTGGCGATGAACATGACGTCGCCCACGGCCCCCACGATGGGCCAGGGTGTAGCCAAGCGGCACCTAGCCCAGCTACAGCCACTTCACCTCGGGGTCGCCCAGCTGCAGACGGCGGGGGGCCTCGAAGGTCTTGGCGCCTGTGGGGTGCCCCCCACTGAGGAACCTCCGGGCGCGTTACTTCCAGTAGCTCCCGCTGGCGTTTTTACTGGTGTCGCAGGCCAGCAGCAGTGAATTGCCTGGCGTCGTGGAGTACAGCCCACTCTTCTGGCAGCCAGTGATGCCGTCGCCGACGGGCGCGAAGTGTCCCCTCGCCGCTGCTGCAGCGGTGCACACGCCCACGGGGACTGGCGGTGGTGCGACAAGGGGGCATGCGCTCCACCACCGACCTCATGCCACCGCGCTGCCCCTTCGACGAAGCTGCTCGCCGGTGGACCTCTCCACGCCAATGCCCTTCCGAAGTCGCCGGCTTGCCCCACTGCAAGGGAGGGCGGTCCGCGGTGCCCGCGGTCTCGTCGGCTGGTTCGCTGCGCTTGCCGTACTGGTCGGCCTTCTCCAAGTGGAGCTGTGCTGCCGACGCCACGAGTGCAGCAGCTGCGGCGGCTTCTTGGGGCGCCGTGGTGGTGGCTGGACTCGTCTCGCCATGTCTCTCACGCGCTTGGGCTGCGCGACGAGGGCAACATCGGGGTCAGAGGCAAGCGCCCACCGCGCGGTGCAAGTCGATCGCCAGCCATATGCCGCCATGCGCCTTGTCCTGCAAACGGTCGTTGCCCTCTGCCGTGGCCTCGCCCTGGTCTCGGTGTTCACTGCGTGCCGTTGCCGGCGGAGCCACCTCACCGCCTTCAACCATAGGTCCCTCGCGATCGGTAGCCTCAGCGGGCCTTCCCCACGGGCTCGGTGAGTGGTGCGTGCTGACGAGTTCCCTTTCGCAAAAAGTGGCGACGCATCCAAGCTTGCAGTCCTGGTCGGCCGTCTCCAGGTGCTCCTTCTGGGTGGCCCAGTAGGAGGAACCTGCCCTTGCCGATTGGGGTTCTTGATCCACTCCCTAAGAACTCTGTGCTCGACTTTGTGGATGATGGCCGCGACGTGCCTCTTCGCGCGAGTGACGGTCTGCAATCAGGCAAAGAAGCGCGCACGGCCATGCTTTGGCGTAAGTCTCCCTCGCCAGCTGGTCGGTGGTTCTGCGCGTCCGCGCTCTCACGTTGTCGAAGCGGCTGTCCTGGAGCATCTCACGGACGAAAGGCACCACTTGTCCTAGTCTTCCTCGGAGTCCGACTCCTCCCACGTTCCGGCGTCCTGGATCCATCTCTTGGCCCCGAGGGACACCGTCCTCTCGATGATTGGGGCTGGGATCCGATTGGATAGCTTGCATGCGCCCCCCCCGGAACGGTGCAAGGATATCCACAAAACGTCCTTCACAGCGTACCGCTGCACCAAGTCGCCCGTCTCCGTGTTGGTCAAGCGGATGTGGCTGCGGCGGGTGGTCTTCCAACCAACTCCTGCGATCGTCCATTACGATGTTGTGCGCCCCCAGCGCCTCGACGAAGCCCTCCGGGTTCTCTTGCTCCGCTCGTTGAAGGAGGCTTGAGTTTGCGCCGCGCGCTCCCGCCTGCTTTCCATGCGCGGTCACACATCTCTCTGGACAGACTCATCCTCACAGAGAGGTCACTGTTGTTCTCGAACAGACCGTCGAACGCCGCCGTGCGCATGATGTGGTTGCAAACGTACGGGGCGCATCACATTCTCCAGTCAGCACTGTCGCTGGGCACTTCGCGCATAACCCTGGAGTCAGGCAGCCATGTCCTGGACCAGATGCGCAGCGCTGTGGAGAGCTACAGACCGGCTGATCGGTCCGAAGGCGCTGCCATGGGCTGCGTCTGCAACACCACTCCGCTGTGCATGGCGTTCGCGTCTCCTGTAAGCTCGTAGGTGCCACTCGGATGGCCGAGGCAACCTGCCACGCTGTCGCGTGGCCGCGGCTGCGTTCCCGACCGCGCCCCCTGGCCTCCTCCGCTGCGCCTCGCCTCCATCACCTCGCCTGCGATGCGCTGGGCGTCGGCGGCGCACTTCCTCGTAGCTCTCCTGCTGTTGAGGGCGGTCCGGGCCTCAAGGCTGTCGGGTGGCCACAGCTGCCTTCCTGACCGCGCCTTCTGGCCACTCGACCGACTCGCGGGTTACAGCATGCGCTCGTCCAGGCGCTGATCGGAACGCTTTCTCTTCTGACCGCCTCGTCTTGGCTGGGGGCTCACTGCTGGGCCGTCCGGTGGCCGCAGCTGCGTTCCCGAACGCACTCTTGAAGCTGCCCCTCAGCGCGCCCTGGCCCTAGCAGCAGCAGCAGCAGCAACAGCAGCAGCAGCAGCAGCAGCAGCAACAGCAGCAACAGCAGCAGCTCTAGGCACGTACAAGCGGGCGAAAGGTGTGGCAGTCCCCTGGGCTCGGGGTCGGGGCTGCAGGCGGCTGGCCTCCTCGCGCGTCGCCCGTGCCATTCGTGTCGAGCCTCCTGCGCCTCCACGCGCGCCTGCCTGCCTTGTTTGTGGACAGCCCTCTATGAGGTTGCAATGCTGCACTGGCCAATCCAGCGTCGACATTGGCGATGTGGCCCGCAATCTGCCTGCCCGAGCTTCGCTTGCGCTATCTTGAGCGTGGGGTCATCTGCAATGTGACCGTCCATGCCGATGTTGGCCAGTGAAGATGATGGTTGTGAGAATGACGATGATGGTAATGGTGATGGTGATGATCATGATCGTGGTGGCATTCTTGATACAGCTGCTGATGATACGGATGTGGGAGGAGGAGGAGGAGGAGGATGAAATGAGGGGGCGCAGAAGGGATGAGGAGGGTGAGAGGGTGGGCGAAATGGAGGAGGAGGATGAGGAGGAGGAGGGGGATAAGGGAGGAGGAGGAGGAGGAGGAGGAGGAGGAGGAGGAGGAGGAGGGAGGAGGAGGAGGAGGAGGAGGAGGAGGAGGAGGAGGGAGGAGGAGGAAGAGGAGGAGAGGAGGAGGAGGAGGAGGGAGGAGGAGGAGGAGGAGGAGGAGGAGGAGGAGGAGGAGGAGGAGGAGGAGGAGGAGGAGGAGGAGGAGGAGGAGGAGGAGGAGGAGGAGGAGGAGGAGGAGGAGAGGAGGAGGAGGAGGAGGGGAGGAGGAGGAGGAGGAGGAGGAGGAGGAGGAGGAGGAGGAGGAGGAGGAGGGGGAGGAGGAGGAGGAGGAGGAGGAGGAGGAGGAGGAGGAGGAGGAGGAGGAGGAGGAGGATGAGGAGGAGGAGGAGGAGGAGGAGGGAGGAGGAGGAGGAAAAGGAGCCAGCACCTGACAAGCAAACATAGGGCGCAAAGGGCATGGCTCAGGTGCTCTGGCGGTATGTTCACGGGCCGCCGCCGCGGATGATGAGGGGGGGGAGGATAACAAGGGCGTGGAAGAGGAGGAGGAGGAGGAGGAGGAGGAGGAGGAGGAGGAGGGAGGAGGGAGGAGGGAGGAGGCAGGAGGGAGGAGGGAGGAGGCAGGAGGGAGGAGGCTTTGACTATACTTAGCTCGTTGCAAGTTAGCTTGAGCGCAGCGGCCAAAAGGACTGGCACAGGCTGCACACGAGAAGCCCGAGAACAAGGACGCTGAGCTGCTTCCGCTCTCGTCCCGAAAACTGTCGGGAGAGAGGTATTGGCGCTGAGGGAGGGGAGGAGAGGAATCATAACGAAGGAGGAGGAGATTGCAGCGCCGTGCGAAGAGAGACATCAGCGGCACCCTGCTTCGTTGCCCATAGAAGGGCAGCCCTCGATGCAGAGAGCAGTGCGAGGCAGGAAAAAGAAGAGACCTGCCTGGGAGTGCCTTCCGAATTTCGGACTGCTATTAAGCGGGAAGAGCTGGGCGGAGGGCCAAAATGGCCAGGCCGCATTGCGGCTGTCCAAACCTCCAGGGGAGGAGATCTGGACTGAAGGAGGAGCTAGGGAAGTCAAAAGAGGCGGGAGAGGAAGAAGGGCCGTAATGGCATGGCCGTGTTGCAGGGCGTACGCTGCAGCTGAGAGGCCTGTGCGGGCCGACCGCGGCGGGGAGGTGGGTGTGCCTGGGCGCTAGCCGAGACCAGACAGCAGAGACCCACCTCCGTGTGGCCCCTCACAGGCACACAGGGACCAAGGGGACCCTGCTACACCTGGACGAGGGCCATAGAGACAAGCCAAGGCCAGTGCCGCGTTCCTCCCACGAGGCACATATGTTTGCCGCGGCCTTGCCTCAGCCGCGCAGCCAAGACGCACTGGGGCATGGTACTGTCTGCATATATGGCACCTTCGCTGGCCGCCTTGGCCGAGAGTTACTCGGCGGGGCTGTGCTGCAGCATCGTTAGGTAATGAGCTGCCAAGGTGAAACAAGAGTATTAGGCCAGCTCGCCACCTAGGAGACTCAGCCGTGGCGAGTCTGCGAATTGCTGTGTGAGCAAGCCGATCGCTGTAAAGCGAGGCTGCTAAGAAGTGCCGCGTTGGCCCCACTTATGCGGCAAGGTGGAAGGTCGAGCCCCTGATTGGCAACGACTCTTGCACAGGCCCTCCAAGGGGGGCCGGTAAAAAGCAGAGTGACTAGGTGGGCTGCCGAGGTATGTATTAGGCTGGCCCCGCCCCTGTATGGCGCATTGACGGTTGCATCATGGGCGCCCATCCCATATTACCTGAGATGGTGCCGGCTGGATGCCGCACAGTTAAAGGCCTTGCGGGCGCTGAAAGAGTTGCAGCTGCAGCTGAAAGGCCTGTGCGGGTGTCCGCGACGGGGAGGTGGGCGTGCCTGGGCGCTAGCCGAGACCAGACAACAGAGACCCACCTCCGCGTGGCCCCTCACAGGCACACAGGGACCAAGGGGACCCTGCTACACCTGGACGGGGGCCAAAGAGATGCGTCGGGGCAGAGGCCACGTTCCTCTCATGAGGCACTTGTGGCTAGGACTGTCTAGGTAGTGAGCTGCCGGGGCGAACCACGAGTATTAGGCCAGCCCATCCCCTAGAGACTCCGCCGTGACGAGTCTGCGAATTGCTGTGTGAGCCTAGCCGATCGCTGTTTAGCGAGGCTGTTAAAATGTGCTGCGCTGGCCGCCCTAGTGCAGCAAAGTGAGAAGTCGCGCCCATGAGTGGCGACTACTCCTGGATAGGGCCCTCTAAAAGAGGGACCGGTGGAGAAAAGAGCGCTAGGTGGGCTGCCGAGGTAAGTATTAGGCGGCTCCGCCCCTGTGTGGCACATTTACGGTAGCGCCATGGGCGCCCATCCCATATTGGCCTGAGATGGTGTCTATTGATGCCGCAAGAGCTGCAGTGAGAGTGTGCACCTGAAGGCCTCACTGCAGCGGAATGTATGCCGGCTTGGCCTGCCTTAAATTGGAGACGCGGTGTCTCCTTTATAAGAGTTTGGCTAGCAAAGAAGGCTTGGGCTGAATAGGTGGTGGGCTGCAGGCAAACCAGAATCTGAGCATTGTGCTAACCCACCACCTATGCGTGAGGACTCAGCCGTGGCGAGTCTGCGAATTGATAGGTGTGAGCGGCGCTCAGCCGCCTCACTGTTAGCATGGCTGCCCAAGGTTGCAGAGCCGCACAAAGACGGGAAGGGCTGGATGCTGCTAGACTCGCGTGGCATACAACTCAGCTATGCAGGACGGCTCGACCGACCTTGAGTTAGAGCGGCATGGCTCCAGCTGTTTAGGTGGTGGGCTGCCGAGGTGGAGAGAAGACGCTGAAAGGATGTGGAAAGGAGAGTATTAGGCGAGCCCACCACCTAAGTATGCACGCTGCTAGTGGCGCCGAGGTCGCTTAGGTCGACCTAGAAGGGCGCTGACTGATGCGTCATTAGCGTGGCTCGCTCAGGCACTGAAGGGCGACGGGTTGAGAGTGCGGGCGGCAGCAGAGAGCGCCGAGAGACCAGCCGCTGTCGCCGCCGCACGCGCCTGGGCCTCTTGCGCGGCAGCCTGCTGCTGGTTGTAGTGGTTCCTCAGCATGGCCTCCACCTCAGAGATGGTCGCCAGGCCTGGGGTCTCGATCCACTCCCAGTCCCAGGTTTCGACGACCTGGCCGTCGATGACGTCCAGCGACTTGAGCTTCCAGACGAACGGGTATAGCATGCCGTTGGGCATCTTCCATTCGCCCGGGTAGGTGGAGGGCCACCACTTTTTGAACTCGCGCGTGGCGGCCGTGTATTGGGAGCCCTGCCAAGCCGAACCAGCATAGGTGTCCCCTGAGAGGCCGAAGAGCTCCCGCGTGTCAGGCGA